ATCAGTGCAACCTGACATATTTCCCTTATTAAACTAAAAAGGTAGACAAAATACTTCAAAATAGTTAACATTTCAAAATCATCATATTGGATTTGCTGGACTTTAAGTTACAAACTACTCCATCTTTATACATGACCGCTGAAACAACTTAATCACTTTGCTCTGCTCTGGCTAGTTAGCATGCTAAAGGTTACATGGCTAAGAACAACAAAAAGAAACACAATAAACCACAGCTCTACACCAGGATTATAGCCAGAAAAAAGCAATTATTCACAAATTTTATGCACTTTATGTTTAATCTATGTAATGCATGGCTTGCTGATTAGCGCGAATCTGCTCCTCACTTTCTCCTCCTCCCCTTCTGCTGCGAGTGTCCATTTCTATTACATAGATGTAATGCACATCTGAGTGGTGTGTCATTGTAGATGTGGCCACGTTTAAAAAGATTTGAAATGGGATGCATCGGTTGGCTGATTTCCATGGTCTAACACCCCAACATCGCAATTAAAGTGAACCTGAAATCAAAATTGACACTTTAACATCATTATTTCACAGCCCTGGTCATATCAACCACAATCACATATCATTTAAAAAAACAAAATGACTGTATTCCCATAATATTTCACCAAAATGTCCACTTTTTTGTCCCTGTGTCCAAATTTGACTTTTCATTACATCTCCATGCACAGGTGGGTGGAAAAGAATAAAACTAACCAACAATATTATGTTTTACCTTCTCCTGCCACCAAATACATCTCCAAACTCAATTCCAACAAAGTTGTGATGGTATGTGAAATGCTATAAAGCAGCTAGAAAGCAATGTTTAACAAATTCTGTTTGAACTGTATTGCATTGAAAGTGCGAAAACTCAATATTTTATGTTTTACTTTATGAACTTCATTGATTTTTGTAAATTTACCCTCATTCCAAATGTGATGCCTGCAACACATTCCAAAAAAGCTGGAACAGGAGCATGTTTACCACTGTGTCACATCATCTTTTCCTCTAACAATACTTAATAATATTTGGGGACTGAAGACACCGACGGATCAAATTCTGAAAGTGGGTTATTTTGTCATTCTTCTGTCATACAAGTCCTTAGCTGTGCCATATGAGGCCTTTGTTGTCACATTTTCACATGGGAGACAGGTCTGGACCAGCTTGTCTAGCAATCATTGAGGTCATGCTTTTGTGACACTTGCAGAATGTTTCTTGCCATTGGCTATGTTTACATGCAACGATTTTTGCCAATCCGATTGAATACAATCCGATTACAGATTTAGACTGAGGTGTTTATATGCACTCTATTCAACAATCTGATGGAAAATCTTCGTTTACATGCTCACTACAAGTAATCCGATGCAAAATGACGCGCATGCGTGGGGTAGCGCTTAGAGTAAACGTTACCATGACAGCGAACATCACGTGAAGTCCAGACCAGTTTCTGCTCCGCCATGTTGAGCGGTGTAAACTTTCGCCGTGACGCGACGCACATGCGCAGAACATACTTGCACGTTCCGATTGGAATGTAATCGGATTCAGGCGTTTACATGGCTATTATTCTTCTATTTAACGGATTATTTAGAAGTTTACCCACCTCGTTTAATCGGATAGAAATTGTATTCCGAATGGCCTCAATCGGATTAGACTATTCCGATTGAGGTGTTTACATGGACGTATTCTATTCCGATTGAGCTATTAGTCGGATTATTAACGGATTATCAGGCTGCATGTAAACGTGGCTATTGTCATGTTGAAATAAGCATGATTGTCCCTGAAAAAGATGGCACTTAAAAGGCAGCATATGTTGTTCCAAAATATGTTCAGTGTTAATGGTGCTTTCACAGAAGCATGTTACCCAGTAACAGGCCTGCAAACCACATCAGACCCTGGCTTTTAAACTTTACGAGTGTAACAACCTGGATGGTCCTTTGCTTCTTTGGCCTGGAGAACCAGAGTACATTTTCACTGTGCATCAGTCCATTTTGGATGAGCTTGAGCCCACAGAGGTTGGCAGCATTTCTGGACACTGTTGATATGTGTTCTGCTTTGCATAGTACAGTCTTAACTTGCATTTGCAGATGAAGCAACGGACAGTGTTTATCAGACAAATTATGATATGTGATATCTATCAGAGAAGCATGCCGGTTTTTAATGCAATGTCCTCTGAGGGGTCAAAGGTCACGGGCATTCATTCGTGGTCTTCGTTCCTTTTTCTTGATACACAAAGTTTTTTCCAGATTCCCTGAATCTTTTGTTGATATTATGTACTGTAGAGGGTGAAACACCTACAACTGTTGCTGATGCATTTTTTGGCAAAGTGGCAAGCCTTGACCCATCCTTGCTCATAAAGGACTAGACATTTCCTGGATGCTCCTTTTATATCCAAACATGATTGCATCATCTGTTTAAGATGTTTTCTGAACACTTTACAATGTTCCTAGTCTTATATTGCCCCATTCCAATTTGGAAGGTGTTGCAGACAATAATTTCAGAAATCCAAAAAACAATGAAGCTGATAAGAAAACATATCATTTAACATAACATATCTCTTCTTTGTACTTGTTTCGTACAAAAAGTACGTATCAAACTGTGCAGGAATCCAGCTCTCCACAAGGAGCAGTGGACTAACAGCACTGTCAGACGGCACTCAAAAATTTGTATCTTTGCATAGTGCCTCATATTTTGGTTAATAATCATAAGGTTACAACTTAATCTGTATTATATATGAAAGGTTTCATTCCAAAATGCATTATAGTCCACTTTCAAAACATTGCATTGTGGGGAGTGGCCTTTACACAAACAAGAAATATCAATGCTATATTATGATTAATAAATGGATATACAGTATTTTTAGAATGAAACTCTTCATATATATTCAGTCAAATGCAAAAGTTTGAACACCCCCAGTGATATTACATGTTTTGTTTATTTTCTAAGTGAAAATAAGTTACCACATGCTCCAAAGGTAACAAACTTAAAAACAGGGACTAAAACACACGTTAAAATATAGTGTGCATGCACTGCTAGAAGTCACCCTGTAAAGCCTTCAACAATAATCTAAAAATCAGGGGTGTCATGTCAAATTTTGTGGCTATGTTATACAACCCTGTTTCCAAAAAAGTTGTGACGCTGTGCAAAATGTAAATAAAAACAGAATGCAATGATATGTAAATCATGTAAACCCTATATGTAATTGAAAACAGTGCAACAACATTTCATATTGAAACTGAGAAATTTCATTGTTTTTGAACAATATATTCCCATTTTGAATTTGATGTTCCCAAAAAATTGGGACAGGGGCACGTTTATCATTGTGTTTCATCACCTCTTTATTTAACAACACATTGTAAGCATTTGGGAACTAAGGAGACCAGTTGCAGTAGTTTTTGAAGGTGAAATGTTTTCCCGTTCTTGCTTGATATAGGATTTCAGCTGCTCAACAGCTCATATTTTTTTTATTGTTCATCGTATTTTTTGTTTCATAATGTGCCAAATGTTTTCAGTGTGTGACAGGTCTGGACTGAAGTCAGGTCCCATTTAACACCCAGACTCTTTTGCTATAGAGCCATGCTGCTGTAATACATGCAGAATGTCGTTTTACATTGTCTTGCTGAGATAAAAAAGCCTTTCCTGAAAAAGCTGGCAGCATAAAACCTGTATACATCATTCAGCATTAATGGTGCCTTTACAGATGTGCAAGTCACCCATGCCATGTGCACTAATATACCACCATAACATCACGGATGCTGGCTTTTGAAGTGTATGCTAACAACAAGCCAGGTGGTCTTTAGCTTGGAGGACACGACGTGTGTGATCAAATTTTTATTCGTCAGACGACAGGACACTTTTTCACTTTGCCTAAGTCCATCTTAAATAAACTTGGCCCAGAGAAGGCAGCGGCATTTCTGGATCCTGTTTATATATGGTTTCGTCTTTGCATGGTAGAGTTTTAACTTGCATTTGTGGATGCAGTGATGAACTGTATTCACAGACAATAGTTTTCCAAAGTGAGTTCTTTTTGAGTTCTTTTTGAATACTCTTTCAACGCACTCGCAATGTTTGTTTGTTGAATTTAGCACATTGGAAAAAAAACAAAATTTCAGCAAAAAAACACTAATTGTGCATTTGTCTGTTTTTGACATAATGTGAAAATGCCTGTTGCTCTTTACTGTCTGTGTACTTACTTCTGTGTACATTCTGGACCAAGAGAAATGGCCAAAAATGACTTGTAAAAAATTCTGGTTCCATTGACTTACACTAAAAGTAAAGTATCTCTTCCCTTCTCCTGTAAAGTTACCAATTAACTACACTTTGAAAACTAAAAGTAGTCTATGTTTATTTTCAACACTCAGCACAATGCGTAGAAGGAAAGTGCAGTTCACAGTTCAGTTTGCAGCATAGACTGACAACATCCCTGCATACATTTTCCTCCTATATTTAGGGCTGTTAATGTCCATCTATTTTTTTGTGATAGTCCATGCTTTCCTTTTTCACAAGCATGGTAACATTCTGATTATGTGAGGATATGACAATATAACCCTCTGAATTCTCTGAAGAGGGTCGGGGAGTTATTCTCCAGCTTTATAGTCTGTGAACTGCTTTTTATATTGTGGGTTTGGTGAGATCTTTCCTGTCCCACTGTTGTCCTAATGGTGAGACAGTGGCAGTGGCCAGTCATATAATAAACCAAGAGGCAGGAACATGCCACTGGTGTTAAAAGAAGACAAAAGTTACATTAATGATCAAAAAGGAAAACAGATAAATTGTTGTCAATCAACACCAATTAACACTCAGAGAATACGTTTCATAGCTTGGGGTCCTGTATATGATGGAAAAGGTGAAAATCTTCCCTGAGGCAGGGGTTAATTAATGCAGGAGGAAACGGGACAGGTCTATCACCACCCCCAATATGTAGAGCCATCTTTGCTCCCTCTCTCTCCATCCCCCTCCGTTATATTTAGCCCATGAAGCATCTGCAAGAAAGATATTAGTCTCTTGATATCACCATCAGCACTTCGTGCAGGGCAGATTGAGATCCCTCTCCACCCCCCACTTCTCTCACACCCACACCAATTCTCCCTCCCCCCTCGAAGATCTGCCGTCCAAGTCCCGACTGGATTTTGCACTCCTTGGGATCTTGGTCCAGCCACAGGTCAGAGGCACCCTGGGATTTGTAAACTTTTGATTAAATCAGAAGCTTTTACCTCTTCCTCTTGAGATCACTTCCTTAGAGGAGCCTTGAACCTGGGTGAGTGGACTGGGCTGTCTTTACTAACTAACTGCATGCACTGGTTAACAATCAGTTGCAAGATACATAAACTAATATATCATATTTATAATATATATTAATATTAACACAGATAATTGTCCTCTCATGCTTAGAATTAGACATGAATCAGACATATCACATATCTTTTAGTCTCATTAAGGTTGGCATGGTCAATTTTAGGTAAGGTTTCGCGTTTGATTTTGGGTGCATGCCTTAAAGACGCAAGCAGTGAGAGAAATGCTGAGCTGCCCCCCCCAACCCCCCACCCACTGCCCGGCTGTTTTATAAGGAGTGTAAAGCCTGGAATATCCAGCTGGGGGAACTTGAGCTCAGTGGTTCACAGCTTGCAAGTACTGTAGAAGAGCGCCACCATATCCCACCTCTTACACTCCAGCACAATTATTCAACTTTGAGCAAGATTCCCAATTTCTCTGTAGACTTATGTCAGTATGTGCACCTATGTGAGTTTGCGGGTGACTGAATCCAATCATCTGATGTGTCACTGACGCCACCACTAGCTGCTAAAAGGTCTTGCTCCAAAATGGTGTTTAAAAATAACTAGAGTGGATTGAGTTACTGACATGTCATTGCAATGCAGTGTTTGCCATTAGCAGAGTCTTAAAGAATACAGAGATACTGTATGTTATACACATTTAAAATGCACGATTCGACTAAATATACATTAAACATTACATATACATGCAAAATGAACAGTGCTGATGACTGAACAAGGCATGTTTGAGCAACAACACACAACAGACTTTAAAAAGCTGCACTCCTGCATAATCTCAATATGTCCCACTGTTCACTGGGTATGTGATGACTCCAGAGGCTGCTCATGTCCTTCCACCTGAAGGAAGGCTGTTGAGAGTTGTGTCTGGCGCTTGTGTCAGATGATAAGAGCACAAACAAACTGAAGGCAGTGGTGGGTTACAAGTTTTCCTTTCTCAGGCTTCACCTTGGAATTTGTGGAATGTGAGGTCAGACATATACACATCAACCCCCCTGCACTGCATCTGTATTACCACTGTACCCTTTCGGTCACCAGATGGTGCAATACTTCAGATCAACTGGTTCAGTTTTTTCTTTACTAATGGAGGTTAGCTTGAACCCAAAAGGATATTGTGGACTTATCTGGTGAGCCTTTTCCTTTTTTAAGCACCCAAGTAAGATTAGTAAAACTCAGTAAACCAGCCCAAAGCCATCTCAGTCATTTTCTCTCTGTCCTTGCTCTATATCTTTAGACTGGTACTCTAATAAATGACTGACAAATTTTCACAGTTTTCCACCTACCCCCATAATCTATCAGCCAAGACATTTTTGGTGTCCAAATTTAGCTTCTTTAGATTAGCACTAGAGCTATGAGGCTAACGTTGCTCATAAAAACAATAGTCAACAGACACCCAGGTCTTTTCCATAAATACATGTCCAAACTTCTCTTAACCTGCTCAAACTGCATTCAGGTCTTCATTATGGTCACACAGACTTGATAATATGGTTTAAAGCACAGTATGACTTACTGTGAACCATAAAAATGGACGAAACTCCACCATGTAGCTGCACTCAGCAGGCAGCCATTTTAAACATAAATTCAGTGCTAAAATCGGACTCCCCTTTGCGTACTCAACGCTATGCACACATATGGTCACTTCAGTTTAGTTCTGTTGTTTCTTTTTAGAAATAACTGTTAATCTTGAAATTCTAACTGAAAATAAGTGAGCTTGTTTAAATTTAACAGCAAAGAGCTCTTCATTGGTTATAGCCTATTCAGTTAAGGCTATGCCTTCATGGCTAGAGTGCTAACGTTAATTCTTAGCTGACCATGGTTAAAGTTGAAGAATTTCATCAGAAATCTTCATTGTTTGATCAAAACAAATGTAGTAACTTGAGAAATTATATTTCATAGCACAACTACCATTAAAGCTACAGTAACTAACTTAATCTAGTACCCAAAGTAAGCGAACGTTAGCAGAATTTTAGGTGGCAAAATAATGAGGACACTATAATCATGAAAGTTAACATATTTTCTGCTGTGTTTAATATTTAAAACTACCAGTAAACTAAAGAACTGGCTATCAGGCATCTCCACAAACTGAGATAGACTCCGTTCAGTTTGCACAAGGTTTGAAAAAAGAAGGTAAAACTGAAAAACTTACTTGCCTTAGCACTTCCTCAATGAGAAGAGGGAGCGGCTTTTCCCTCTTCATGGCCGGAACTATGTAGTGCACTGTTTTGGGGTTCCACCATTTTGTAGTGGTGTCCGAACACATAGTGCAGAATATCCAGTGCACTCACACAGTCCCACAATGCACTGCAATAAGTAGTGTACAACTGATGTTCCCTATGGAATAGAAGTACCCATAATGCACTGCATTGTTTGGTTTGAAGATTCACATGCAGCTTCTCTGAGGAGGCCCAGTCAAAGCTACAATGGCAATGTCTGTGTCTTCAGACCTGTTACAAATTTAAGTAAGCTGTTCTTATGTGTGCAGTCGAACTCAGCAGTTATAGTGGGTTGTTGTCATGATGTTTATAGCATTTATGTGATATAACCTGCTGTTGCACAATAATAAGCAGACCCGTATCACGTAGTGTCCTAAATCATTTACTACCATTACAAATTCTGTTCCCTAAATATATGTATATATAAGTATATATTTTTTTAATTATTTTTAATTATTTTCTTGTTCTAAATTTCCAAAGAGATTCTTAGTTGTAATATGTATAAATAAATAAATATCATAATAAATGTTTTAATTTATTTCAAAAAAGTAACTAAATCTCTGGCAATTTCAAGCCAGATCAAGTTAGTTCAAGATGGCTACAGAACAAACCTGGACATGGGTTTTAGGGGCAAATCACTTCTGACAAACTTAATTTGGACCAGAGAGGAACATCTATTTAAGGGCTAGAACAACATATTTTTATCGGCTAAGCCTGCTTTAAAAAAACAGCACATGAAACGCATGCTGGTCTAAGCAGGTTTGTGCTGGCCTAGTGCTGGTTTAGCTGGTTACCCAGCATGGTCATGCTGGTTGACCAACGCACCAGCATCCAAAACCTGAATATGCTGGTTTTGCTGGTGATGTGCCTATTCATTTCCATTGCCATTTTCCATTGCCACTAACCACTAACATACCAACATCCAAAACACATGATATATGCTGGTTTTGTGGGTGACCAGGCATGCTAGTCTAAGCTGGTTTTTCTAGCAGGGTAATTTAAGTCTAGGAAGGCTGACCCAATATTGAGCATCAATGGATGCCTCTGGTGAGTCTATGTTCATATAAAGAAACAACAGAAATTGCAAATGTATCTAGCGTTCATATGTCAGTATGACTTGCACACATGAAGAGGAGTCGGATTCAGCACAGCACCTATTGTCTAAAATGGCTGACTACCATGTTCAGCTACACGGTGATGTTTTGTTGGTTTTTATAGCTCACAGTAAGTCATAGTGTGCTCTAAAAAGTCCAGATGACCAATGAAGATCTGGAAGCTGTTTGATAGAGGTTTTGGATGTATATACACAAAAATACATAGGTGACTATTGGGTTCTAGTGTTTGTTAGCAATGTTGTAGCTCTAGCACTACACTAAAGAAGCAAATTTGGACACCAAAATTTGGTCTTGACTGCTCAACTGCATCTAGGGTTAATGGAAAATTGTGTCAATTAAATTTATTTTGGATTTTTTAAGGATCCGGAGGCTGAAGCAGGAAAAGTCTCATGAATATAGCTTTTACTGCAATGTGCTTAAGCTTTAGATGTTAGATAATATTCATCATAAAGAGATGAAGCCAAAAGCGTTCTTTGGAGCAATGCCCAAGAAGAACTCTTTGAAAAGCTACTTTAAAGAACTCTTAAAGATTCTTCTCAAAATCCTTTCACAATCGGTTCTTTCTTAAGTCTCTCCTTAAGAGGTTCATTGTCGATCCCTAATTGATTCCTTCAAGAACAAAATCATAAAGTTCCTCAGACTCATTTGGTGCTTTAATTGTTATGAAACCAAATGAAACCAAGTTAGTGCACTAGCCACCATGTGCATAACGTTAGTTAGCTAACTAGCCAGATAACTATAAAATTCCAAGCATTAGCTTGCCAATTAGCTAACTTTTACTTTTCTAAGGAAAACAAACAACTCTACACTTTAATATATCAAGATATATTATTTAATGAAACTTTATGAAATCTCACTTACCAAGAATTTTGCACTTTCAGAATGTTTCACTCACAGTCTGTGTTGACAAAGGATTTACAAAAACTGACGTCATCACTGAAATGCATGTACACATTGAGTGAAGTAGACAGAAGACAAATTCTGCTCTCTATTTTGCTCTCTCGACTAATTTCAGTCACCCTTTGAATTCATAGTTATGTCCAATCTTTGCAAGTAAGATACCTGTCTCTATTTAGTGTTTTGGTTTTGCATTTTGGGCTTATTCCAAAAATAAATCAAGCTATAATTATCTTTAGCCTGCTGCCTTACTAAGAGAGAGAGAGTGAGAGAGAGAGAGATTATTAGAGTAGGCCTACAGTCTAGAGATCAAGCATCATGTCATCATGTTCACATATGAGATGAAAATAGCTGTAAATATTTTATATGACAAACAAGATCTGTGAGTGAATGTGAAGAACCTTTTTATTGTTTAAAGTACCTCATTTTCACTACAAAGGAATCTTCTTCATAATGTAAAAGTTTTATATGAATTAAAAGCTCATTATAAACTTGTCTACCAGAGCCAAGACCCATTTAAGTACCTATGTAGTGTAACATATGATATCATAATTTGTAATATTCAGGAAAGTATTAGCTCATTTCTAGACAAATTAAACTGGTAGGTATGTTTTCAGTGTGGTATATATTTTTGTGTATTGTTTTATTGCCTGCATTACACTACTTTGTATGTTATGTATTTAGTGCAGAAAATGCAAATTGGACAAATGTATAAAATTATTCTAATATGTGAGTCCTGTTCAATTTCATTGCTTCCAATAATTAGTACACTATGAAACTGTAAAAGCAATGCTAGGTGTGTCCAGACCGATGAATGAATAACTGAAAAGGATGTATGTCATCAATAACAAAGTTGTAGTAAAATGAATATCCAGAATTCATCATATCTAAAAAGTGGAGATCAAGTCTTAAGGCAGGTAATGTGACAGTAAATAAATGTAAATAGATCAACACTGAATATAATTTAGTTGTTTACATCATCTACACAGAATTCTCAAAATATTGAACAAAACATCTAAAATGCCTTTTGGAAAGTAGTTTGTAATATTTGTATTTGTCCACATTGCATGAGCTATTATTAAAATTATTATTATAAAAATGTTAATATAGGAAGTGATTCCAAACTTTTGAATAGAAGTGGATTCAAATTTAAGTAAATGGTGCTGAAATTTGAGACTTGGTTATACAGGCTGAATTGCTTCCTAAAGAATAAAAATGAATTGAATGACTGTGACAGACTCCAAGTAGCCTGTGCTGAGTCAGTCTTACCCTTTTCATTTCTGTTTCCCCAGTTTGGAATCATGCCTCTCTCTGGAACACCTGCCCCTCCCAACAAGAGGAAAAAAACATCCAGAATCATCACTGACCTCTCCCATGTCACTCAGAATGGTAAGCCTGCAGGACGTGCAGTTGTGTTAAGCGTGTATCTCCAGCCTCAACCCTACTGGAGGCCAGCTGTCCAGGAAAGGGGTTGGAGGTTCCCGGTGTAATGAATGTGCAACACACGTTTGTTTTGATGGTCGTACAGCTTTAGTTAGTAGTATTTCTTTCCTAATTTGCAAAAAGGCTAATGAGAACCAACCGTACATTCCTGATTTGCAACCAGTGATATCCAGCAGCTCTTGCAGGGCCGCTAACTTGACTCTTTTATGTGGCATCTTTTTGAAGTCTTTTTCATGTGGCGCATGTTTGTTCAGCTCACCTCATCTGTGAAATACACTCACTGAGTGATGATATGGTGAATAAGGAGAGAGATTATCAGTGGAGCACAAAGCAGAGGCAGTGTTTAAGCAGAGGGCCTGAGGTGAGGCCTCTGACTCAGCGGCTAGTCAGGGAGCCAGTCCTGCTGTGACTACACGCTTAGGTCAAACGGAGAGACAAAAAAGATTGAAGTTATTTATAGCACAATTATTTTGTCCGTGGGAGACACTGTCAAGGTTTGGGAGCTTGTCAAAGAGGTTCTGCATGGTTACACTGTACATGTTCTAATGAGGGAAAGACTGTCACGCACACAAACGCTTATTCCACAGATTTCACAGCAGAAATGCCAGCTGTCTTTCCAATTATCACACAAGTGCCTCTCATTCCCGCATGGGAGCTGTACTGCACAGCAGGACTATAAACAAGATCAGCTGGGAAATAATGCTAATCAACATGTTTTTCTTTCTCTAAGTTATACAGTATTTTTCCCGTTATGAAAACAGAAAAAACTACTAGCACACAGGAGATAATTGGTATGCTTTCATCTGACATTCTCTTATGATCTCAGCATTTATTGTTATTTTACCATTTCTAAAGTGCCTGGGCTTTGTTTTGCCCGAACCACAGTCACTTCCTGGTGATGAATTATTCAGATAGATTACTGTTCTCAGTTACAGTAAATTGCAGTTTCACTGCGTATCTGCCAGTTCTGAGACCAACGCGATTCTGTCCGAATGCAATTTCCGGCTTCCTCGTGCACTGTGTCACTCCCTGTACCACTGAATCCAGGAGGATGATTTTCCAGAGCAAAGCATATGCAGGTTAACTCTTTACCATCCAGGCTTGCTTACCAGTTCTTAGTCTTAAGGCTTATTATTGAGTAAACACAATGCATTTTCATGGACTTCTAGAGAAGTAATTTAAAAAGTTATGTAATTATTATAGCAAGGAATGAAAGTTCCTGGGTTTCTTGGAAATATGTGGATTGAATAAGGAAATAAAGGACAAATATTTTGAGAAGCATGTCCACCACGCTATGTAAGCTACTGTCAGGATGTGATATGGGCTGCTGACAAATGTAAATAATCAGCTGATCACACACTGTTTACAGCTTCTTGTGGCTCTTGTGATGATGCATTTAACCCTTTTTGAATTACAACGATTTATACCTAACCCTACTACTTCTAATTATGCTTTTGTAACACTGCACAGCTGGATTGGGAAGATTTGGATACCCAGGGTTTCAATCTGATAATGAACTGTGATGTTAGAAAATAGAGAAGTTTGGAAAAGAAATAGTGAAGTAATGAAAGTTATTTTGAGCTTTTACTCTGTACTTAGCATACTTTTGTAGAAAACTGAGACGCATACAATGACTAAATATTACAGCCTCACATTAGTTGAGAGAATTCAGAGAACAAGGTACTCTTGAGTAATGGGACTGATGTATGGGGATGTACTGGGACTCATGTAGGGGAACACAGTCATAAGAAGGCAAAGCAATGTGGCATAATAACTACTCACCACTCTGTCCTGCAATAGAGTATGAGTCAGAGCCTGAGGCCTCAGAGTTTGACTTGGGGACGAAGATCCGAGCACCCAAGGACATCATGCTGGAGGAACTGTCCTTGATGAAGAACAAAGGTTCCAAGATGTTCAAAATGAGGCAGCAGCGTGTGGAGAAGTTCATCTATGAGAATAATCCTGACCTCTTCAGCCCCGAGTCTATGGTGAGAAATAACCACTGCTCCACAGACCCCACACTGTATACCAAATGCATTTTCTTAATGACACCCCTTGCATGAAGGAAATGTTCATATCTGACTGTCTGAATGTGACCTCCCAGGATAACCTCCAGAGGCTGGTGCCTAGCCTTGGGGGCCAGATGATGGATGTTGGTGGCCGTCTGGTCAGTGTACAGATGGTTGGCCAGGCTGGTGTTGGCGGGCATGCACCTGTGCCCCCTCCCAAACCAGGAAGCTTGGGCAAGGGGGTAGGATATGGGATAGCTGGAGGCGGAACAGCTACCGGAGGCGCAGCAGGGGCAGCAGGGGCAGCAGGGACAGCAGGGGCAGCAGGGGCAGGAGGAATAGTTATCGGATTGGCAGTTGCCTCTCAGAGTGAGTAGCAGACAAGGGTCCAGATGGTGACCTCTATACACTGCCCAGCTCACCCACACTGACTTCACATCTATGTAAGTCAACAGTCTCCATATGGAGATAAACGTGTGTCTGAATCATACGCTTCAGCGCAGATCATACTTCACTACTCAGATTTGAGAAGCAGCAGGCCGCCGTTCATTGTTTTCTGAGCGGCGGTCTTCATTCAGCTTGGTATTTGATATTTGAGTCAAACAATAAGGTGCTATGACCTTCCAATAGTTTGAGAATCCATATAGAGTAATTACTGTGTGTAAAGTTAATTTGTCTTTTATTGCCTGCTTAATTTTTTTCATCCTGTAGGTGAGGACAGTGCTAAGGCTGCTTCAGAGAAGGCTAAAAAAAGAAAAGAATATGTGAAGACATATGTTTCCCCCTGGGAACGAGCCATGAAGGGCAATGAGGAGCTCATGGCTACCATGAAGCCGTATATGCCAGGTCCCTGTGTTCATCGTGACCTGCCGAAATACAAGACCTTCAACAGGTTCCACATGCCGCTACACTTTCATTCATGCTACCTGTTATAATAATGTTTGAAAAAATTGGAATTACTGTTCCAAAGTTTAAAATCACTGCCATCACTACAAAAAATGATATCTTGGCAAGTGAAAGCATCTTAAATACAGTCAATGTACCTACTATTTCTCATTATGAGATTGTTTTGAGAATATTATAAGATTATTTAATCTATTTTCAGTTGAGTAATTTTATCTCACAATTATCACAATGAGGTAATTTTATCTGACTGAAATGACTAAAACATTTTTTTTTTTACATTTTATTTCATTGCATATTAAAACAATTTTAGATTAGATTTTTAAGCCTTATTTCCTTCATACATCTATCACTGAATAATAATGCTTGTAATCATACCTGTTTATAATGATATTCCACAGATATTGCATTGTGTATTTCTAGTGTTCCCTGATTATCTTTGTGATCTGCCAACGGAGTAAGAAAATTTCACTTATTAATCTCATTATAAATGAAAATCTCTAGTAATAAGATATAGGGTGCATATCCTATATTTTTCTTGTATTTAATTTTTTTTCCCCTGGGATTTACTTGTGACATTGGTTCGTGTTTTAAAAAAAGTCATAATTCATTTTCACATGACCATCTTTCGTCTTTGGCACAACCGTCTAAGCGTTGGCCCTATCATCAGGAGATTGTGAGTTCGATCCCTGGTGATGCTACAGCCATCCGTGGCTAGGAGTCCAAGAGAACACAATTGGCCTCACTCTCTGGGTGTGTAGGATGGCCCCCCCATCACTCAAATGTGACGCTAGTCCTAGCGCTGGGGGTCCGATGGGGTTGAGGTCAGTAAACTCACCCAGCCATCCCTTTATGGACGTTGCTTTGGGGTTCAGTCACGCTGGAACAGAAAAGGGCCTTTGCCAAACTGTTCCCACAAAGTTGGCAGCATACCATTGTCTAAAATGTCTTGGTATGCTGATGCTTTACAATTTTCCCTCGTGGCAGAGCTGTTGTTGCTCCTAGATCCTTCCATTTCACAATAATAGCGCTTACAGTTGACTGGGGCAGATCTAGCAGGACAGAAATGAGAGCCATGTTTAAAGTCACTGAGCTCATCAGCGTGACCCATTCTACTGCCAGTGTTTGTCTATAGAGACTGCAAGGCTATGTGCTTAATTTTATCCAATGTGTGTGGCTGACACACCTGAACTCAATCATTGGAAGGGGTTTCCCTTTTATTCATATAGTGTATGTAAATGTGTTGGTTTTCATGGCATCACAGAAACAGCAAATTCAAAACGGGCTGTTTTTGTAGTACAAATTTAACATATGGACTATATGGAGTCGGGGGTGAACGGGACGTTTTGAAACTTATTTACATACTATTTTTTCTTACAGTGATCTCATAATGAAATACTATCATATAAGGTGTATTGCATACATTTAGGATGCTTTCACTTGCCAGGCTGTAATTTTTTGCAGTGCAGACTGAAGTTGATGGCAAACTTAAATGCTAATATGTGGCCCCTACATCTGTTGATAGGTCCGCTATGCCCTTTGGAGGCTTTGAGAAAGCTGCTCAGCTGATGACCTTCCAGCTGCCGGACATTGATGTGGCAACGGAGGAACCTGAGCCTGCAGTGGTGTATCAGCATGACATCAGCTCGCGACCCTCCTTCAACCGCACTCCCATTGGCTGGGTGGGCAGTGGGGAACCAGGTAACATTCACCTGGAGATGGAAACCATCCCATTCGATGGGGAGACCGATGACCTGTGAAGATTGAACCTCATGATCCCCCAACAACTCCTGCTTTAACCCCCTATCCCATCCCTTTACCACCCCCTCCTCTCTCTCTCTCTTTCTCCCTCTTTCTCTCTCTGTCTCTCACAAGCCTATCCATCAACACTCGTCTCACGGATCAGCTTTATAACATGTATAACACACTGTGTGTGAAATAAGTAATGATCCAAAGTAGGCAGCATTCTTTCAACATACATTTATGAAACTAAATGGAAGAACTGTGAGTAAAGTTATCATGATTACAATCAAGCAATCCAGCAGGTGTACCACCATTTCCTTAATGTACACATTTAACCTACACTGTCCCAATGTGCCTTTTTTGTGCAACGTTCTGCTGTCCAACTGTGCGCTAAAGAAGAGATTTATGCATGAAGTTGACTAAGAGAATTCTACTGAATGTGAGGAGAGTAAAGTTTTTTGTTTTGCTTTGTGTTTATTCAGCATGTTGAACTGTAGAGGTGGATTGATGAACACTTTTGGACAGTGAGCAGCGAAGTTAATGTTGGTGAATTACATTGCCAGGAAAGGTAGCATCTTCACTGAAAGTAGTTAAGTTACAGTAATGTCCATGCAGATAAGAGTAGTTAGTTACTTTAAAAGTACTTTTAACTGTGCCTAGCTGATCAGAGGGGTGCCTCACCTAACACATGCTATGGATGATTTACTGACCTGATTTTGTTCAATCTGTTTAATCGTGCAACATGCTGACCCATTGTTGTTTGGCATTTAATATAATAAATTACGAGATAAGCTCTTGCAAACTCCACTATCTGGGGTTGCAGTTAAATAATCTCTGACCTCTGAAGTCTCTAAACTCCCCATCCTCAAAGCTCAACCTCAACTTAATAAACATTCGATAGCTGATATTTGTTGTTCTGTCATCTTTCTTTCACTTGCTTAGAAAATCACCACCACGTGAGTTCTACCTACAGTTAAAGACTGTAGCACATCTGTTATTATGATACAACTTTCTACCCTATTCAGCATGGGTCAGTTTCTGACCATAGGACCACTTCTTAAGAGGTGAAAATAGCCTTATGATGTTAATAATAGTGACAAACATTGTAATAATGGTATATTTGAATACATGTTATCAACTCCAGGAACTGACTCAAAGTGCACAGTAGTAAAAAAGGTCACACATTTTGGTACCAATCATTGAAATTTCTACTTTCTTCTTACACATTCAAATAAACTCCAGGGAGTGGCCAAAACTGTAGATGGGTTATCACAAACTTCTTAGGAGTCGTTATTAGACTTAGTGATTTTCCTACCATGTGTATTTGCATGCAGGCTACATGGGTGTACATGAGAAGAAAAGATAAAGGAACAGCTCTATGATATTGATAATACTTTCAGATAGTGTAATATTATTTGAATACACATTCATAGTCTAGGGAACAGGTCTTAAGTCATAACAGGCCAAAGACTTCATAATAAGCCTACATGGGTGTAAACAAAACAGAAGAGTAAGCAAATCAGCTCATAAGACTGTTTAAAATCTTTTGTAGTCCTTCTTGACTCCTCTTAACTTCTCTCTCTAACGCTTGCTATGTATGGGCGGATTGATACTGAAATATCAATGCTTCTAATCCTGATGTCTTTCTGAAAATCAGCTCTCACATTAAAATATTGAGAATATGTGTGTTTGTTAAGCAGTAAATTAATATCATTTTTTATAGGACTTATTGTCTACTTGGTACTAAAAAGTGAAAAATTATTGTAGCAAATGACTGTGTAAGATAGGAACTACTTTTCCTTCCACTCTCTTCTTCTGCACTTCATACACATGCGTACACAGATACAGTCACATGATACACAACAAAAGCTGTTCGATGGCAGATTGTATAGAGTTATTTTAAAAAACAGTCACTTTACGAGGCAATTCATGTAATGTTAGTGCACTACTCATGTAAGATGTGCACAGACTCATTTTCGTAAGCGGAAGCAGAGACCTTAAAAACATCTTTTTATCAGTGCTTTTCAGACTCCTTAAAGGAGAATTTTCAAAATTTACATCAATAAGATGTCGAAAGTAGTCCTTCAGATTGTTTTGATGTGAAATGCTCCGTTGTACAGAAACTGAGTCATAATTGTTTGCATTGATGGTGACAGGTATGGAGTTAACTTTGTGCCATAAAGTCCAAATAAAATAATAAAATCCACAAGCAAAATATTAAATATCAAAGTTACAATGTAGCTGAGCCTGTACAGAAATCGGGGATTGAAGAAGTAGTAATGTAGTAAAAAAAATTTGACTGTGAAAACATATCAAAGCAAAAAACAAAAAATTAAATAAAAAAATAAGAGCAAAAAAACTAACTATACAAAACGATAAAATAACATCATAAAACAAATCAAATAGGGATAAAATAATAGAAGCATTGATGATAAAATAAATAAAATAAATAAAATAAAATTTGGTGCCTACATTACTCGCAAATAATTTCCATTTTATATGCTCAAGAAGACTTTTAAAAGTCTTAGTATTTGTATCGATATCACTATTAGCCTTGGTATCACTTTGTATCGGATCGAAAAGAGAAGTGGCGTCATCACGCATCCCTGCTGTATATCTCGGCTCATCTCGCTGCTACCGCTCGTTACCTGAGCGAATCTCGCGAGACTTGGTTACCTAGGCTGCAGCACGCAGTGACGCCGAAGGCTGTTTGGGGGTGCAGCGGGTCTGAGGGGTCGAGCCGGGCAAATGCACACACTCATTCCCACTACATGGAACACGGCAGCTGTTCGCCGAGTACCGCGGCTCTGAGAGCGACCGGAGCTGGAAGGAGGCGTTCCGTCTGCGCGCGGTGAAGTTTTGAGGAGGAGCGAGCATGTGAGTGTGAGAGAGAAGAGAGAGAGAGAGAGAGAGAGAGAGCCGTTGTGTTCATAACAACCAGGATAGATGCGCAGCTCGCTTCCAGCACACAGCGTGCAGATGTGCAGTTGTGGATGTGTAAAATGAAGAGGGGCGGTGCAGTGCAGTGCAGTGAAGCAGTGTGCATGAAACTACGTTTGCGTGTGAGCGGGCAGCGTTAAACGCGTAGCCCCCTAACCTGCTGACGAAGCTGCTCGGTGGGCTGCAGCTAGTAGCTAAAGCAGCAACTTCAGCTGGATTACCGAGTCTGGCCACTAGTGCCGCCAGGATCCTCTCTCTGCCTGTTTCACACACAAGACTGAAGTTGGTGTCTTGTTCGAATTTTCCCGTTCCACCTTAAATGGCGCAGCACTGCTGCACTGTTTAAGGCGGAACGGGGAAAATTCGAACAAGAAGCTGGCTAATAAGAAGCTGACAGAAGCTTCGTGTGTCGCACGAGATCCACTTTGTGTCTACTGTGGACCAGATGTGCTGAAAGAAGCGAGCGAACATCATCTTTGTATCCCCCCTCTTGGTGGTGCACTAGAAATGGACCCTAAACCAGACTGCATGCTCTTTTTTTCGATGACGTAGTGAGCTGTTTTGTATTGTCCTTGTAGTAGCCAATGGTACAGTGATAGTAACCCAGGCAAAGTCAACAGAAAGAGAAATTTTAGGTCGGTCAGATGGGCAGAGCAGACACATTGTCTTTGTTATGTCTAGAGAAATGTGTTATGACAGTTACATGCTACTGAATGTTGCATCAAAGGAGTTATAAACTGGCTGTACACATAGCCTGGTCTATGTGTACATCACCTATGGGCCACTTGCTACTTCCTCAAAGGTGTGAAGTGAGACCACCGTAAAACTGTGTTTTAAAACGCCAGATGAATTGATGAGGCCCACATCGCAGAGCTGATTAATGCCTTCGGTGCTGAACTTTGCCTCCAATCCTACCAAGTTTTAATCCTTCAAACTGCTTCTGTTATTTTATTTTTTATGATTGGGAATTTTTTCTGTACTGTGTTTTCATTTTCCATGTAACCTCCTCACACTGACCTGGTCACAGGTGTGGAGAACATGGCTGGATCATCATAGTTATGTTGATGATAATTCCCCCTGTAATTATTTTATTAAGATTCCCAGGCTAAATGTGGTAGCAGCACTGCTCACATCTCTGATGGATTAATGGGGGAATTAAGACTTTTTGGCATTTGGCTTCATTTCAGATTTCAGGATTTAGAAGCCTTTAGCCTAATTTTTGCACAAAGTAATAAACAGTGCTGAAGGTTGCAGTAAAATTTACCTCAACTTTGGGTTCATATTGATGTTATTATACTTGTACAAATAGCATTTGACCTGGTAATCTACAGTATGTGTTTTACATGATAAAGAATGCTTAAGGCTACATGCTGATTCTGAAACAGTTAATTAGATCTGTATTTTTTACTTGATGATTTTCAGTGCAGTATTAGTCAGAAACCTAAGCGTTCCCAGAAAGTGCTAGCATATTCAGATCTAAGAATGAAATAACAGATAAAAAATAATACATAGGCTATTGTATACAGATAAGAATTGAATTTTAACTTTGTGTATTGGTGTGAAACATTACAATCAGTTAGAAGAGGCAAAGTAGTTAAAAATACTATCAAAAACTATGAATCTAATTATTGGAATTCAGTATTTCACAAACTGTGCTGCACTAAATCTAACTAAACAGGACAGATTATGCTCTGTTTTTAATCAAACATGCAGTTGGTAAGTGTTTTTAAGTACTGGCGAGAACCACAATATGCTCAGAAATGTATATTGTGAGAAACTGTGATGTAATTCATCACTATAACATTAGATATTTCCATGTTACTCAGATTTAATTCACCTACACACAAACAGATTTTATAACTTACTCAAACACACCCCGTTTTCAGAGAGCATCAAATTAGGTCTACCTGAGATCATAGCAATCCTGTCAGACCATTTTATGTCCAGTCTACGGATTGCAGGGAAAAACAGCTGTAACTGGAAATGACTTATCTTGGCATTTAGCTAGCTGTTTAGAGATATATTAAGTTTTTAAGGGAAACATATTTAAATGGTTAAAATCTTGTAGCACATTTGTAAAGGTTGGCTCCTAGACATGTATTAAGCCAAACTACAGGGCCAATAGTAAATCACCATTGGACATTGTTTTTAATCTTGGTTTAGGCTTAACCAGGGACTGGGAACCTGGCCCTAGAAGTGTGGTGACACTATCTAAGCAGCTTTTGCTTATAGTTTGCTTTCAGATAGGCCCTTTAAGAAAAGTCTTCAGCGGGGCTACACAAAGTGTGGCCCGCAGGCCAGCGTTGGCCCTGAAGGATGTTTGATTTGGCCTGTCATAAAGTTTTCCAACCCCCAGTCAATAAACATGCTTTTTGATACACTTTGTATTTTTTGGCTACTTATTTTTCATTTAAAGTTTATTTTGAACTATTTTAAATTCTAAAACATATATAGTGTAATATTATAAAATAACAGTTTTAGCTAGCATTTATGAGCTTTATGAGAACGTAATAGGTGGCGGTATGTGGAGACCACCGGTGTGCAAAATATCTTTTCACTGAATTTAAAGAAAGAAACCATTGGAGTATTTTAAAGAGTTCTGTTTGTGTGCTGGCAACGTGTGAAAACATAAAGCCAATGAGTTGCTAACTGGCTAGTTTGTCTTTTTGGCCCTCTGCCCATCACAAACATTAGACTTTGGCCTCTTAAGAAAAAATATGGGCACCTCTGGTCTCCAGTCATGTAGCAGTGAATTATAAGAGACATAGAAATGATGGCTGACTTGGTTGAACAACAAGCTTCCAGAAGTAAGAAGTATAACACTTTTTATATTTAAAGTAGTAGATAAACTGTTTAAAGTTTATTCTGAATAGAAATGTCTACATGCAGTA